TATTAGAGCATAAGCTTTCGTGGACTACAGCCCACTTCTTCGGATGCATACGAAAACTTATGCTACTCCTGTTCTTTTTGCGGATACAGACTAACACGGCTGCTACTCTGAAACCTGAAGAGCTCTGGTGGCTCCATGATTTGGTGTTGGGGATTTGGAATCTAGCAGAAGGGATGTTCATTTTGTCATTCCTGTGAAAATTCACCATAGGTCTCTAGTTATGCTTCTGTTATCTTCCTACAGGAACACCAGGATCCACTCCATCATGGCCCTGGTACACAACAACTCGTAAGTGCTAACTCATTCTGCTTTCATTAAAATGTTTCTCTCTGATAGGGTTATGTGCTAGAAATGTTTTGAAATCTAGCCTATGGTTTTATACAAGAATTGCCACATGAACTGAAATGAGAGAAAGAACAGGTTGAATAGCAATTCAAAGGCAAATTTCAAATGTGGTACAGGCAATAAATGTTTCTCAGTACATTTGTTGAACTGTACAGATCCATTACACACCCCTAGTCTTGCATATTGTTCCCTCAGAACACTGAGGTGTGGAGAGTAAATATAGTTTTCTTCAATCCATCCAACTCGCTCTCGCTTCTGTTCCATCACTCCTTCCCTAGAAGAGAACAAGATCCTCACATTTAGATTGCCTGCTAGCCTTTCTGCCAAGCATCTACATAGGTCATTCCCCAGGAGACAGTCCATGGGACTGTCCTCATTCAGGATGGCTCTCTCATAACTGTGGTTATTCTGAAGATGCCGGTGTCATCTGTTCAGGTAAATAACAAGAGTTTGCAGGTGTCTTGCAAAAAAATTCTTCCAACTGTTTCACTGAATAGCTTCATTGCCTTGATGATTTGATGTTGGGATTTGTGAAGGCAATGTGCATTTTGCTATTCCTGTGAGAATTCGCCATAGGACTCTAGTTTCAGTTCTGTTATCTTCCTGCAGGAGCACCGGGATACACTCCATCATGGCCCTGGTACACAACCACTGGTGAGTGCTAACTCATTCTGGCTTCACTAAGATGTTTTTCTCTTATGGGATTCTGTGCTAGAGATGGTTTAGCTTATGGTTTCATAGTGCAGTTGCCACATGATCTGAAATGAGGGCAAGGATAAATTGAAAAGCAATTCAAAGGACCAAATTTCAAACTTGGTTCAGGCAATAAAGGTTTCTTGGTATCATTATTGAATTGCTCCCTGGTCTTCTGCCATCTTCCGATATGCTGTAACAATCCTGTGCTCACCCTGTGGTCCTGGACTGTGTCTATCAGCCCTCAGTCTCAGTTCGCAGCTGTTGGCATTTGGTGGGATTACGTTGCTAAATTACATGAATGCAGAGTGGGGAATAGAAACCAGATATTTTGACTCCCAGTGCCTGTGCCATTTCCCTTAGACTATGCTTCCTTCATTTTTGCTGTTTTTACAGTACTTATTGTTCTCTCAACAGGCTATGGCTGGAAAACAAAAATTCTGGTTTGGAAAATAATTCTGAGGCGTTAACATTTGTTTTCATTTTGCATCAGAGTAGAAATGAAGCCCTGTTTGTTTGTTATCAAAAAGACCACAAGATATATCAAGATAATGACCTTTCTAGCTCTTTCTCTTTCTTGGAGGAGGAATGTATAAGCCTTGTGTCACTTCAAGCTCTGCGTTAAGTAAAAAGTGTTACATTCCAAAGTTGACTGTAGACGCTATTTTCATTCAGGCTGTTCCCAGTGCACCAGGTGCTACTTCAAAATTTGATTTCCAAACTGAATTTCTAACATAACATTATCGGAGAGAAAAAAGCATAATCTTTCTCACCTGAACATTTTCTTTGGTCCATATTTTCTGTCTTCAGCTATATACATTTAGGGCCTAATCGTGAGAGGTCCTGAGCATTAAATGAGACTGTGAGTGGGATCAACAGCTCTTGGGATCAGATGCTGATCATAGAGCACTTTTTATAAAGACCATTGAAGTTATGGGAGGCTTTCCTTTAACTTCAGTAGCTTTTGGCTCTGACTGATAAATCATATGCAAATATATACAAATATATATATTAATGACTAATGTATTTTTTTCTTACATTTTATTTTGCAGCAAAATATACTTGTGGTGGTGTCCTTCAGTATTCATCTGGGACATTTCAAAGCCCGTTCTATCCAAACAATGCAGATTGTGTGTGGGAAATAGAAGCAGTGAGCAATTACCGTATAACACTTTCATTTAGAGATATCTCGTAAGTAAAGCACTAGTTTTCTGGGCAATTCATGGGTTCAATGTCATGGACTTTTCAAACTGGTACCCTCTGCATTTGAAGGATATTTCTCAACAGGGTTTAACAATTCTAAGTGACCGGTCAACCTAAAATCAAAAATGGCATGAATGGAGTATTATTTGTTGTTACTTTTTGAGTCCTAACAAAGTGGTTGGTACCATACAAGATACAAAATGAAGACAATCTCTGCCATGAACACCTTGCAGTCTGAAGGGCTTAATCTGAGATTCCTGTGCTGCTTTGTGATGAATACTTAAATAGAAGTTTACAAAATAGTTTACAAAATGTTCATGTTTATTCTCCAGGACAGAAGGTGGTAGATGCCAGCATGATTATATTGAGATATATGATGGGCCACTCTATACCTCTCCTTTACTGGGGAAAATTTGTTATGGTTCCTATCTCACATATACATCGTCCTCAAACTTGATGACAGTTCGATTTCACAGTGACTCGAGTATAACAAACAGAGGGTTTCGTGCTGACTATTACAACATTCCAGCAGATCAGAATACTGGTAAGTTCATGTTTAATACAGAACTTTGCTTTTCAGCAGACAAGCCATTTATTGATTTTATTGATAAATAACCATTGATTAACGTTCAACCACCTCAGTGTAGTACCACTCACTGTCATCTTTCACACTGTGTGATTATTGACCTATTACTTTCAGACAATATTTTGATTTTGTTTATATATAAAACTGTTTGTTGTTATCAAATTATTTTTGGACATTTTCTCTTATATTCAGCCTAAATTTACTTTTTCACCATGTCGTCTCATTACTCTTACTTATGGCCTCTTGTACTACCTGACTGCTCATTCTCTTTGCGTCTGATCCTAGTCCTGATGCAGGCAAAACTCTCATTGCAATCAACCCAATTCATACAGCATGAGTCAATTTCATGTTCTCCGCCCAATTCATTAGTTGTTATTTATCTGAGCTCAATGCCTGTCTAGCATTTTACTGGTACATGTTTAGTATTAGAGTTATTTATATTTAGAATTATTCCCTGCACTTCCTTTCCCAGTTTTTGATGCTCTTCTGTGAGTCCCCTGCAATTTGTCCACATCTTCAGCTACAGAGGTGCCCACAAGTGAACTTGAACAACTTTCACAAACATTCAAAGCCTGATCCCTAAGTCCTCATTCAGGGAAAACTCCTGAAGCAGCTGAAGTTTTTTAGCTGAAACTTCCCAAAATACATCAGTCCCTGGGACAAATGGATTTGAGCCTTAATGAGTGTGCCTTTTGCCCAAGAAAAGACTATACATGATCGAGTACCCAATGAAGAACTATCACTTTGATGCTCATTGATGTGAATCGGCCTCTGAACATGTATCTCCAAACCCCATAAGGCTTATGTAAGGTCATACATGCAAGCCCCTGATTCTGCAACCCTTACTCATTTTGAATAGCACAGAACTGGTTAGTTCCATTGGCTGATCAGGATAATTCATGATTGCAAAATTGCTGTCAACCAACACACTAATTTCACTTTACTGTTTGTCTTCACCTCCCCTTGTGTTTAGATCATTCTCTCCCAGAAATACTGAAAGTCTTTAGTTCATGTCCTTAATAAAGGCCCTGGTAGTATTGTCCTTAATTTTACTCAAGGAAAATTCCAAGCAACTTCAAGTGGATTTTCTCTTGACTCCAGAATTTGCTCTACAATGGTAACTGTGATTCATATGATCCTTAACACTAATGGGAGACTCTGTCTGATCACAAGGAGAGAATAATTTGCAGATTTTCTTAGTGATAGTTATCCACAGCCTAAACCATAGCCCCCTGGTGCATAATTTGATAATTAAGACATAAGAGAAGTGAAATCATGTGATTTGTCTTATGAACACCCTCCCCTCTCCCAACATACACACAGAGTAGATAGCAGCATATGTATTGGTTGAACATTTAATTACTACTGTATGCCTGAACGCACTAATAATATATGTTTTATCCCCCCACCAGTTCTTCTGTGCTTGCCAGAATACATGCATGCAGTTGTTAAGAGAGCCTATCTCCTCTCACAAGGCTACACTGCAGAGAATGTCAGATTGAATGACCCTTATTGTAAACCAAAGATTACAACAAACGATATTATATTCAACATCCCATATAATGGCTGTGGAACAAGACGAGAGGTATGAAGTTGAATATTTAGCACCTGTGTAAGTAGCTCTGTGCAAACTGCAGAATTTATTTTGAAATGGGTCATGAACAGAAACCTGCTGTGGTTAACAGGAGTTACAAGTGAACCAATGACTGCAGGTTCAGATTCACTGAACACTACCATCTATTCTTCCTCTGCCTGAAGAAACTCCTCACTTATTCCCCATAAGGTCAAGCTACAATATTATGGGACAGGGAGGATACGCGAACAACCTCAACCCATGTTCACAGACTTTTTTCGAGCATGAGCTGATGTTCGTGAATAATCAAAATACTTGGTATTTGCACAGGCCCCTGTTCAGCAACGTACTTACACATATCTAATTTAAAGCATTCATTTCAATAGGACTACTCATGTGCTTTAAGTTAAACACATTTAAGTACCTTACTGAATCAGGACCTTTGTGCATTTCATGTTCAACCTTTGTATTAATGTTAACTAACTTGGCTGTATTTGGGTTCAGTGAAAATATTTTTTCACATCTCAGTGTAATCACTGTATCATACAGCCAACAATTTTGTTTAAAATGTGTTGTGACTAGAAATGACCAAAGTCTCATTTCTTTTCAAAATACTTCCAATAGAAGCAATGCTTTTAAAATGCATTCATCAAAAGTTTAGTGACATAATGGTAAGTGTGGCAAAAATGTGACTACATTAGATAATTCTGTACTTACTGTGTCAAACAGGGAAACAGCAATACTATCATGTATTCCAACTTGATCAAAGCAACCTCTTCTGGTTACATAATCAAAAGGGAAAAAGATCTTCACTTGCATGTCAACTGCAAAATGCTCCAAAACACATGGAAAGAAATCATGTATGTTGCTCAGGATGTGGCTGAGGATGTTACTGAGGTCAATGAAACGCAGTACAGCAGATATGACGTGAACATTTCATTCTACGAATCACCATCCTTCTCACGGCCAGTGTATGACTCTCCATACTACGTGAGATTGAACCAGAATTTATTCCTTCAAGCTTCAATTCACAGCTCTGACCCAAATCTGGCGTTGTTTTTGGACACATGTGTGGCATCACCTAATCCCAGTAGTGTTACATCCACAACCTATGATATTATCAGGAATGGGTAAGGACTTTCTGAGCAATGATAAACAATGGATCTGTATATGCTCTTCTGTATCTGTTTTGTTTATGGACTAATTTGAATATTGACAATTTGAATTGATTTCAGTTCCCTATGCCACTAAACTTTTTTTAAAAACTTTTTTGGCCAATCCTGCTATGAAATGAGAAATAACAATAGCAATGATGTTTAGACCATGCAGTCATGCAAGAGTCCACTCAAGCATGTTACAAAGTAACAGATTTTATCCCAAACTCCACTGAGGTCAATGAATTTTCACCTGCCTACATCAAGTTTGAATTCAGCCCCAAATAGTTTGTCTATAGAATTCAACTGTGTATTTTCAAAATATTCTGATTCTTTTTTTTAATTATTCATTCTTGTTCTGTTCTTGTTTTTTGTACTATACTGGAAATGTTCTTTCAAATGACTAATTCAATCCTTGATTCAAATGACAGAAGTTTAATGTTTGATATTCCTGCTTTCCTAGATGTCACTCAAATGGCCTAGAATTGTTCGTGTGGCTTGGCTTAAACCATTTCTTGTGGAAAACTTAGCTAAATGAATTATACCAAACAAATGAGATTCTTAGATCTGGCAAGAAAAAAAGGCACTGGTCTCATCCATTATGGCATTTCCTATGCTTTACCTGCCAGCATTTCAGTAGATTTCTCCATTATCACTAGATTCTACATCTTTCTGGGTATGAAAGGGCAAATCTTTCAGGAGCAGGTCCCATTGTCAATAAATGTCTGACTCATTCACTTACTGGTGAAATTCTAATGGTATATAAATAATGGGGACTCAATAATGAAATTTCAAAATAATTCAGCCAGGTAGAAGAAGAGTAGCAGGATATACAAGAGTTAAGTTTTAAGGAAGCCACCTTAAAGCATGATAGTTTAAAAACTCCTTATCTATTGCATAATATAAAAATTAAATATTCAGACCAGCCCTTTTAAGAAATGATATGATAAAATCATTCAATGCAGAGAAAGTCAAATACTTTAAATCTAATAATATTTATTTAAATTAAAGCCCAACAGGAAATAAATTTACCATATCTAAATTCAACCATCTCTTAACTTTCTATAGGTGACACAAATATTGGCATGAATATAACAGAAAAACATATTGTACAGTATAAACTGAGATTATTATAAAAGTTGTTCAATACCTTGAGATCTTTATTATGAGAGTGAGAACATTAATATTTGTATGCAATGCGTTGACCATATGACAACTCTGCACCTTATTTTGAGATAACAGCAGTGTGTTAACAGATAAATTGAGTTCCTTTTCATGGTGGTTAAATTGAATCAGAATGCACTGGCATGGAACTTTGGCATGAGTCAATGCTGACAGGAAAGTGAAGCTTACTAGAATTTTGTTCTATGAAGCACTTGTGCAGCTGACTTACTAGAGATTGGGTTCATTGGAAACGTTCACTTTCTTGCTTCTTGCATCCAAAGCAGAAATCAGAGGAGTGGGAGTGAGTTGAATAATATGGCACAGAACTCATCATTATTGTTCATATCTAGTAGCGCCTAGAACCCAATCAGACATCAGGGCCCCATTGTGCAAGGAGCTGTATAGCCATTTAGTAAAGAGACGGAGCCTGCCCTTCAGAGTAGAGCTGGTAGAAAAAATTGTGACTAAAATTTTTCCTGTTTAAACAAACAAACAACCCCCCCCCCCAGCTGTTCATCGAAGCTGAAGAGTTTCATGGCGATTCTGACAGAAATGACATTGAGAAGGGTTTCTCAGGTGAGACTAAGAGAGAGACCTAGGCCCAGCTGGTTAGGGTGCTTGCCTGGGCTGTAGGAGACGGAGGGTCAAGTCCCTGCTCTGCTGGAGGGGACTCTGCAGAGCAGGGACTTGACACTCCCATCTCCTGGGTAACAGCCTTGGCTAGTCTGGGTTGGCTCTCTCTCACATTTGGTTTCTCATTTTTCTTCTGCATTGGAACAAAAACAAATTTCAAAATTGTGAGTGAAATGGAATTGCTGTTTTCTGGCCAGCCTCACTTAAGAGCTTAAATCGTGGTTACATTTCCCCCTTATAATCAGGGGCGGCTCTAGGCACCAGCAAAGCAAGCACATGTTTGGGGCAGCCCATTTGCAGGGGCGGCAGGGATCCAGCCTGGAGCTGAGAACCAACAGGGGGCCCTGGGAGCTGTAGTTCCTTGGTTAGCTCCCTGCCTATAGAGCCAGCCCTGGAGCAGGAAAAGAACTACATTTCCCAGCATTCCCTTGGCCACTACCAACAGGAAAGAGGGAGAGGGCATGAGGTAGCTAAGACCTCATGCTGCAGTCTGCTATGAATGGAGAGCTGTACTCTGAAGGGTAGGGATACCATATTTTAACATTCAAAAAATAGGACACTCCACAGGAAGGGAGGGTAGTCCCACCCTGCCACCATCCACTCCCACCGACTGCCTCCCACAGAAACCCCAACCCATCCAACCCCCCCTGCACCCTGTCCCCTGATCACCCCCTCCCGGGACCCCTGCCCCTAACTGCCCCCCAGGACCCCACCCCCTATCTAAGCCTTCCTTCTCCTTGTTCCCAACTGCCCCCTCCTGAGACCTCCCCAACTTCCCCCCTAGAACCCCACCCCCTACCTGTCCCCTGACAAATTCCCGGGACTCCCATGCCTATCCAACTGCTGCCCGTCCCCTGACTACCCCCCAACCCCTGACCTATCTAATTTCCCCTTCTCCCTGTCCCTGACTGCCCCCCCACCCCCGCACCCCCCCAACGCCCCACCTCACGCCCCCCCCCTGCCCCCCCACCCCCG